GCGAATCTGTATAGGACTGTGTGCGGGGTTACCTGCAGCGGGCCGACGCTGGCGCGCCACATATCGTTGCCGAGCCGAGAGGAGCGAGGCGCCGATCGCGCGCAAGTCGAGGCCGTCGCCTCCAGCGCATATGCTCGGCCTCGATCGCCTTGTCGCCGCGCCAGCCTGCGGCAGGGACGCGTGCGGGTGCGCATAAGTGGCTGGGGCGGGGATGGCTGGTGGGTGGCGGAGAGGCGGCGTGGGGAGAGTCCCGGGCGGGGCGAGAGGCGGGGCAGAGGGAGAGGGCTGGGGGAGGGGCGAGAGGTGGCGGGGGGCGGGAGTTGCGGCTCGCACCGTGCAGCGCTGGCAGCCCCGACCGGCGGGGACCGCTCGCCGGGCCCGCCAGGCGGCACGCCACGGCAATCGCGGCAACGCTTCTTCAGCCGGCGCTTGGGCCCTCACCGCCGCCGTCAGCGGCCGTCAGCGCAGCGCCTCCGCCGCCGTGGGCCCGCCCCTCGCGACGACAACGCCCTCCGCAGCGGCGAAACACGCCGCCGGCCGCCGGAGCGCCGCGCGGGAGCGCCGGCTCACCGATGAGCGGCGCGGCGACCGCGCCATCCGCCCCCGCCGCAGCAGCGCCGCCCGAGCTGCTCTGGACGCGCCCTGCGAGGCGGCGCATGCCGTCGAAAGATGTAGACAGCGACGGAGGAGGAGGAGGAGTTGAGGCGGCGGCGGGGCGGCGCCGCCGACGCTGGCCCCCGCGCCGCCCAGCCGCTCCAACCCGACTCGAGGTTGCAGCGACCCGAGCCTGCGGGGCTGCCGCCGAGGAGTGCAGAGAGAGGTGCGAGAGAGGGGGGAGAGCGGCGAGGCGAGCAGCTAGCGCGCCTCGGCAGAGGCGAGAGCGCCGCGGCCGCGCCTGACGCACGAGCGACGAGCCGCGCAGCCCGCCCTGCAGCGGCGCGCAACCTACGGCAGAGAGAACCTGAGTAGAGAGCTCTGAGTTGGCCGGACGCTCGGTATCGGGTTACGGGCTAGAGAGCCCGAGAGCCCTAGCCCCGGGGGTGCGCGGTCGCAGGGCCATAACACGTCTCCGAGGGATGGTTCCGTGTACCGGGTTACCCCTTAACTGCAGAACGCACCCTCTTCCTCGACCGTGGGGGGGTGCGCGGTCGCAGGGCCATAACACGGCTGGTTGCGAAAATTCTTTTGGCGGCCTTGAAACGAACGAGAGAGACCTGCTGGCCGGCGTCCGCCGCTCTCCACGCGCTGCTGGTGCGCAGCGTGCGCCGTTCTGCACTCGGGCACACCACCGCTCCACTCTCCGCTCTCCTCCAGCCGCACAGAGCCCAACCAGACCCCCCAGGCGTTGAGCGTCGTTGAGCAGTGCCACGAGAGGCAGCAGCGTCTCGCCCGTGTGCCACAGCCGCGTGTGAGTTGCGATGGGAGCCAACTAGCCTCCTGACCGGCCTCCCGCGCACACTCGCACTTGGCAGCCTCGAGCCTCACCACGCCCGCTGCACACTGCCTGCAGCAGTGCGTCGATAGTCTTAGCGTCGTCACGCGTGTGCCGCCACGCTCTTGGGCGGACACGGCGCAGCTCTTTCCGGGACGGACGAGTGGTGCGCTGCGGAACCGCTGGCACAGGCTACGGGCGGGAGGAGGTGGCGGGCAGTGGCGGCAGGTGTGGACGCAGGCAGAGGACGACCTGCTGCTGCTTTTGGTGGGCGAGTCGGAGCCCAACTTCTCGCAGGCTTACGCTGCGTTCGACGACTCTCGCTCGGAGTCAGCCGTTCGACGCCGACACTCGCACCTGACTAGCCTGCGCGACTGGGTCCAGTGCGACGCTTGCGAGAAGTGGCGGCATCTCACTCCGCCGCAGCCCTGCTACACGCTTCGGGGCGAGTGGTGCTGCTACATGAACTCCGACGGCGATCGCAACTTCTGCGCTGCGCCGGAGGAGGAGTCGGAGGAGATTGTCGTGAGGCGCGGCGAGGTGCTGCGCGTGGCGGCGAGCAAGGGGCTGACGCTGTTCAAAAGCAGCATCGCAGCGTCCGGCTACAAGCAAGTGTACCTGGATCCTGGCGATGGCTTCTGCCGTGTAACCTTCAGAATCAATGGCAACCTGCTACTGCGGCGACCCGCCGTGGCGCATCCCCGAGGAGGCGGCGGTCTACCTCGCGGGCACGGAGCACGGCCGCGCCGCCGTCGCCGCCGCCGCCGACGCCGCCGCCGCCGCTCTCACCGCAGCCGACGCGGTGACGGAGGCGAAGGCGGAGAGGCTCGTGCTTCTCCCCTCCAAGAACCGAGCCGGGTACGAGGGCGTGACGCCCACGCCGGCGGGGCGGTTTCAGGCGCAAACAATGGTCGATGGCAAGAACCACTACCTCGGCGTCTACGACACCGCCGAGGAGGCGGCGCTCGTCTGCGCCCGCTGGCGGCGAGAGCACGACGCCGACCCCGTCACACTCGAGAGCGCCGTGAAGCGCCTCCACCTCGGCGTGTTCGAAGCCGTCGACGAGGAGACGCGGGCTCGCCTCGTCGCTCGCCTCGTCGCCTTCCTCTCCAAGCCCACCTTCGACGGCCTCATGAAGGCTGTCCACGCGCGGGCATCGACCGAGGCGAAGCTGCAGCTGGTGAAGGACTCTCTCGAGAGGCTCCGAGGCGCGCCGCCCTAGCTCCACCCAGCACCCGCCGCGAGCTCCAACTCCTATCTCTCTCCGCAACCCCCACCCCCGATCCGGCTGCAGGAGGAGGCGGCGGCGCTGCTGCACGAGTTCACCCTCCGCGGCGTTGCCGAGGCGTGCGGCAAGGCGGCGCACCTCGAGTCGCCGCACCGGCATGCGCTGTACGAGCTCTGCGCACCGGGCACCACCAAGGTGTGCACCGTCTTTGTCGCCATCGCGGCGGAGCTCCGGCTGCTCGCAAACTGCGACAAGACGGGCCGCCTCTCGCCAGCGCAGTTTCGCGCCATGGCCGCCGCGTCCGAGCAGGCGGGCCGGGTGTGCGCCGCTCGCGGCCACTACAACTCGGTCGGCGTGACGCCGCGCTCCATCTTCGAGAGCCACAAAGTCCCGCGCGCGCATGTGTGCGAGGCGCTGCGCGTCGTCAAGGCCAACCCGCCTGCCTGCGCCGGCGCGTTGAGTCGGGCGTGGACGGAGTACCTCTTCTACTCGCTCCACGACCGCTACTCGCCGCACGAGCTCTACTCGACCGACGGCACGGAGGCGGGCTTCAAGGCGGGCGACTCGGGCAACGAGAACGTATGGCGGGACGGCCAGTTCGACCCAGCGACGCGGCGGCGCTACGGTGGGCGCTTCCACGACCTCATCGTGCGCCATGGAGGGGAGGCGTACTTCGAGGGTAACTGGCCGCGCATGTGGCGCGTCCTCGCCGAGTTCATCGTCGACTGGCTGGCGTGTGAGGTGCTGAGCGAGCCATCCCTCAAGTTTAAGCCGAACAAGGCGACGGGCGAGGAGGGCTTCCTCGGGCTGGCGGTCAACGCGGAGACGGCGCTGCAGACGGTGGCGGACAAGGTGGCGGGCGAGACGCTCTTCAAGGGCGTTTTTGGCGCGTGGGGCCTGCGGCTGCACCCCAACGCGAGTGGAAGCACGCGTCGCTACACCTATAGGCTCCAGCGTGCGCTTGTGTGTCTTTTTGTGTCTGAAACTCGTTGTGCGCAGCCACCTAGTCGAGTACACTGGGGGTCTGTAAGTGACTCGTCGTGCAGACGTTCGCTCCTCACGCAGCTGCTAGTACAGCTTGTGTACCTCGCGCGTTCCTGTGTGCAGGAGCCGCTGCGGCTGATCGATGCGGCTGGTCGAGACGTAGAGCGTGCTGTAGAGTTTGTTGTACCTGCCCCCTCCCGCCACGCGCTCCGTCCGAGCCCCGCTCCGCGTGTGCTCTTGCCCCACAGCGGGAGGAAGTCTCAAGATGGCCAAGTTGCAAGTAATGGAGTGATGTGGCGCTGCGTCTCTTAGCACTGAGAAGGACGCAAGAAAGCATGCATCCCGGCGGCGGTTCATATCCGCGTGAGCGGACGGGTGTTGGGCTGGAGAGGGCTGAGGCTCACCCGTTGCGAGGAAGTGAGGTACTGCCGTCCGCCCACCCCCGCGAGTAGCAGCCGCACCGCCTCGGCCTGCCGGTGCCGAGCGGCCCAGGTGAGCAGCGTGTCTTGACTCACGGCGTCATATATGCGGCGCGTCGAGCTGGGTCGCAAGTGACGTGCGACGCGCCCGCCGCCCGGAGAGGAAGGCTCGCTCGCAGCGGGGTCAAGTCGCCCCGAGCCAGGTCGTCAAGGCGGGCTGGCAAGCTGATGGAGCCGCTGACGCCGCCTACACGGCCGCGTTAGACTGCTAAAATTGCGTCATGCCAAAAAAAGAAAGAAGACAGGGTTTGTAGTCGCAGCCGTCCCCATTCCCGCGCCACGTCCGAGAAAAAAAAATGGCTGTCTGGCTCCACCGCTCCGATGGCGCGGCGCCGCTCTCCGCGACCGACGGGCTCGAGCTCGGGCGGAAGGACGTCGCGCCAAAGGCCGCCACCGTGAGCCGCGTGCAGTGCGTCGTCCGCCTGCAGCCCGCCGGCGCCATCATCGAGGCCCGCGGCTCCAACGTCACCGGCGTGCGGCCGTCTGCCGAGGCGGAGTGGACGTGGCTTCGGAAGGGCGACCAGTCGAGCGCGCTCGCCGCGGGTGGCCAGGTGGCGCTCGACAAGGCGCTGCCTGCCGACGCGCTCTTCACGCTCTGCGGCCCGCAGAGCGCAGGCGAGCTTCGGCCGGTGCGCTGGCTGTGGCACTCTGCCTCGGGCGGGTGGACCGCCTTTGCGCCCGAGCTGGCCGCACGCCTCGAGGCGGCCCACTCTGCCGGCGCGGCCTCGCTGGTGACGGACGCCGAGCGGCGGGTCGTCTTCTTCCCGGCCATGCGGCAGGAGCGGCTCGATGACGCTTCGCGCTACCGCCGCGTCCAGCGCGAGGCTGCACCGCCCGCATCGCCCGCCGCGTCGCCCGCCTTGCCCGCCACCAGCCCGCTTGCCGCCACCGGCCCGCCTTCGGTCGCTGCGGCGGAGGCGGCGGCCGGTGCGGCTCCCGCGGCCGCCGCGGCAGCGGCGCCCTCGGGCGACGCCGGCGACGCCGAGGCCGAGCCCAAGCGGCGGCGGGTTCTTCCTCGAGAGCTCGGTGCTTACAGCCAGGAGGAGGAGAAGGGCGACGGCGCGCCGCCCGCCGCCACGCTGCCCACAACAGCGCCGCCCGCAGCGGCGCCATCCGCCGCGGCGCCGTCCGCCGCGGCGGCGGGAGGCAAGCTGGGTGTCGCGCGCGCGGTCGCGACTCCGCCCGACGTGCGCTGGTACAGCGCCGTGCCGAAGGAGGTGATCGTGCGCCGGCCGAGCGAAGCGCCGCGGGGGAAGGTTGCCGCGTACGACCTGGACGCGACGCTGGTGCGGTGGCTGCTGCCCGAGGGTGTCTTCCCGACGAGTCTCTCGCAGTACGCCCTCTGGTCGGGCGGGGTGCTCGCCGAGCTGCGCGCTGCGCACGCCGCCGGCTGCAAGCTCGTCATCTTCTCGAACCAGGGCGGCATCAAGGGCGCGCATGAGGGCAAGACGGCGGCGCGCGTCAAGGGCGTGATCGACTGGGTGGCGGAGGAGCTGGGCGTGCCACTCTTCGCCTGCATCGCGACCCAAAAGAGCGAGTACCGCAAGCCGGGCGCGCCGATGTGGGGCCTCATGCTGCGCGAGCTCAACGGAGGCGTGCAAGCCCACCTCGCCGCGTCGAGCTACACCGGGGACGCGGCGGGCCGGCCGGGCGACATCGGCGACTCGGACCGCGACTTCGCGGCGGCGGTCGGGGCGGCGCACGGCGGCAGCCTCGCGTTCCGCACACCCGAGGAGGCCTTCGGTTCGCCAGAGCAGCTCGCGGAGCCAGGTGAGGGGGTCGCTGTGCCTTGCCCTCCCCGCGAGGCGCTCGGGGCGCGCGCGGCGCTGCTGGGAGGCTACTGGGCAGAGTGGCCGGTGCTGCTGGTGCTGTGCGGGCCGCAGGGGGCAGGCAAGTCGACCTTTTGCGAGGCGCTCCTCGCGGGAGAGGGGGGCGGCGAGGGGGGCGGCGGGGCGATCCGGCGGTGGGTGGTGGTCTGCCAGGACACCGTCGCCAACGGCGAGCCCGAGCCCGGCGAGCGCGCGAGGCGCGCGAGGCGGACCGATGAAAGAGCCAGGCTGCTTTGGTGAGTAGGCAAGCCCGGCAAGCGCGAGGCGTGCGAGGCGCGGGCGGCGGAGGCGCTGCGCAGCGGCTGCAGCGTGGTTATCGCCGCACCACCCTCCACGATTGGTGGACTACCGACCTACTTGAATGGGAATGAGTCGATGATAGGTCATCGACCGCACCAACCTGACCGCCGACCAGCGCGAGCACTGGCTCAAGGTGGCGAGGGCGGCGGCGGCTCCGGCGCACGCCATCGCGCTGCGCCCGCCCAAGGAGGAGATGGAGCGCAGGGTGCGAGGCCGGACAGGACACCCGGGCGGCGTGCAGGGCGAGAGCGGCGCGCGCTTCGTGGCCCGCTCCCTCGCCTCCTTCGCCCCTCCCGCCTACGACGAGGGCTTCGGCCTCATCTCCGCCGCCGCGACCCCGCCCGCCGCCCTCCTCCTCGCCGCCCTCTACCGTGGCCTCGCGCAGCCGCCGCCGCCCGCCGCGCCGCTTCCCCTCGAGGCCGCCCCCCCGGCCGGCGGCGAGGGCGGCGCCTCGCTGCGCCCGCGGCGGAGCCCGGCCGACGGACGGCGGAGCGGCGTCCCCCTCCCGTCCGGAGGCGTGCTGCCCGCCGTCGCGCTCGGGACGATGGAGCTCAAGGGGGAGGCGCTCGCCTCCATGCTCTCGCAGGGCTTCGCGGCGGTCGACACGGCGCCCACGTACAAGAACGAGACGGCCGTGGGGCAGGGCCTCTCCCCCGCCGCCTACCTCATCGCGAAGGTCCCTCGTGCGGTGACTGGCGACGGGCAGGGCTCCAGCGGGGTGCGAGAGTCGCTCCGCAAGAGCTTGCAGAGGCTCGGCCGGCGCAAGGCCGACCTGGTGCTGCTGCACTGGCCCGACAAGGCGTGCGAGGACGGGAGCCTCGCGGCAGTGTGGGCCGCGCTCGAGGAGGCGCGCGAGGCGGGCGAGGCGGGCGAGATCGGCGTCTGCAACGCGACGGCGGCGGTGCTGCGCGAGCTGCTCAAGACGTGCTTATTATTATTAATTAATTACTTATTATTATTAATTAATTAAAGGTGCTGCGCGAGCTGCTCAAGACGTGCTTATTATTATTAATTAATTACTTATTATTATTAATTAATTAAAGGTGCTGCGCGAGCTGCTCAAGACGTGCTTATTATTATTAATTAATTACTTATTATTATTAATTAATTAAAGGTGCTGCGCGAGCTGCTCAAGACGTGCCGCGTCCGACCTGCGGTGAACCAGGTGGAGCGGCACCCGCTGCTGCCTCAGTGGGAGCTGCTCGACTACTGCGCCGCCGAGGGGGTCGCCGTGCAGGCGCACACGCCGCTCGGCGCGCCGGGCGGGATGGGCAAGGCCCACCGCTCGCGGCTGCTCGACCACCCCACCGTGGCGCGCGTCGCGTCCGAGGCGGCGATGGCACCCGCGCAGGTGCTGCTCGGCTGGAGCTTGCGGCACGGCGTCGCGGTCGCGCCAAAGTGCTCCAGCGCACCCCACGCCGCTGATTGCCTCGCCGCCGCCCGCCGCGCTTCGGACCTCACCCCCGCCCACATGCGCGCTCTCGACGAGATGAGCGGGCAGGGCAGGCCCCTTCGCGTCGTCAACCCGTCCTTCATGAGGTGCATCCCAGAGTCGCGCCAGGCCCACCACTTCTGACATCTGAGCAGCGGCGGCCCGTTGGGCCTGTGGTCGCCTCTCGTGCCAGTAAAGCTGTTGTAAGCTCCGTGTACTGCGATGTAGGTGTACTGTGTATATCGGGTATCGCTTTTGACCCGACGCGGCCAGTGTTTTTTCGGTGTTTTGGTGGAGTTCGTTTTTGAGTGTTCGAATCGTACAGCCGTGTACGCAAAAAATATGCGGAGTGTGAAGGAGGTACGTGGGGCACGGGACCGGCAAACCCTCGTCAGCGCGCCGCTGCTGTGCGTGTGTTGCTGCGGGGCGGCCTGCCCTCAGATGCCGCCCATTTTGAGCACGTCGACCATGTCGTACACGCGCTGTTCGGCGGCCGCCCCGACGCGCTTCGCCAGGAAGACCGCCGCGTCGACTGACCCCTCTGCGTAGGTTGAGCGGCCGCACACGTTGTGCCGGAACTGGAACTCGACGTTGCCGTCGGCAGAGGTGAGGGCGTAGGTGTGGAAGGCGTGGCCGCCGAGGAAGGCCTCGGGCACGGGCGAGCAGCCCCTGTGCGAGCTGCCGCCGCCGGCGAGCTGCTCGTCCGTGTCGCGCACGCGCTGGATCTGCGCGTAGTCGTCTGCGGTGAAGTCTGGCTCGTTGGTCAGCTTGGCGAGGGAGGTGGAGACGGCCTTCGCGGTGCCCGAGGTGTCGGCCTTGGTGGACTGGTGCGACTCGACCACCGACAGAGCGTACCCCTCGAACGAGCCTCCAAAGTCGCTCGCCATCTGCTCGAGCGCCGCCTGCAGCGCGACAATCTGCTTGGCCATATTGGGCGCAATCACCGCATACGTGCCCGACTCGCGCGTCACGCCGAAGAGCGCGTCGCGGTCTCCGCCCGTCGTGCCCATGACAAAGGGCAGGCGGTTGGCGCCGTACCACTCGGCGTTGCCGTTCACCGCCGTCGGGTGCGTAAAGTCGATGCACACCAGCGAGCCCGCCTCTGGGTACGCCTCCTTGGCGAGCCTGGCACACTCCTCCTTCTCGCTGGGCTCGTAGAGCCGCACCGTCACCCCGTCAACCTCCACCTCGCCGCCCATCCCAGCGCCCGTCAAGGCAAACGGCGCGAGCGTGACGCCCTCTCGTCGGATGGCAGCACTCGCAATCTCGCGGCCCATCGCACCCGGCAGCCCGTTCATCATGATGGCGAGATTCATCGCCGCGCTGCCCCTGCGGCTTCGCTCGCCGCGGGGCTGACCAGCGATCAGCGCGTACGCCGACGCGGGCGTCGATGCAGCGGTCAGCGCCAGCGCGAGGCATGAGGCGCGAGGCATGTTGGAGAAATTCGGGTGTGTGCGGTCGTGTGCAGCTCTGCGAGCGAGCGCTGCTGCTCGGCCCTCGTTCTTTTTCTCTCTCTCATGTGCATGTGCATGTACTTTTAGCTCACTGGGACAAAAGGGAGAGGGGGTTGTGTTCTCTAGGCCCCTAGGGGCCCTACGCGCGGCGTGAGTGTCAATGTATGTGGCTCTTACGTACATTCCCGGAGGAGGACTGCTGACAGGGTTTGCGAGAGGAGTGACCCGAATTTTGTGGCGGCCCAAGTGCGACTGCTCCAAGCTAAAGACACACATACACAGCTCGCGAGATTACTTCTCCTCATCTCGTTCTCGAAGGCGCAAACTGAAATCGAAGACCCCTCTCTGGCCCGGGCTGCGGCGCGCCTTCACATGCCTACACGCCCAACATGCCACATGTGCACATGTTCATGGAAACTTTTCCTTTCCAAGTTGTGCGGCCGTCCCTTTTACATCGCTGCGGAACTCTCCTGCGAGCCCCCGGCACCTCCTCACGTACTGTCCGCGCGCTCAAGGCGCGCGCGAGCGCGCGTGTTCAGGCTGCGGCCGCCATGGCTTCGCAAGACTGGTACGCGAGCTCCCTCGATGCGTTTGTAAGCCGCGGAGCCGACTCGGCCAAGTGGCGAAGCCAGATGCCGTTTGACCCGCCGGCCGTTGCCGAGCCTCTTGCGGCCAAAGACTCCAGCAAAGCTGTGGGACAAAAAGCACCGACAAGCTTTTCTCGCGATCACATAACGGTGAGCTCTGCCGCCGACGTGCTGCCTCCGCTGCCGATGGTGCAGCACTGCAGTTCCAAGCTCCCGCTCCCGCCCCTCAACGATGAGGTCGTGAGATCTCGCCTGTGCCCGCTGCAGCCGAACCCCCTCACTGCTGGTGGCCGGGCTCGTCCCAGAAGGATTTCGCCGCTGGTGCCGATCGAGCACCGGCGCGACAACAACGGTCTACTCCCGTCGAGGCAGCGGGAGGGGTTGCGGTAGCACGGTGGCAAACGGCAAGGACTTTGCCGTGCGGCGAATCAGGTGCCGTGAGGACTGTCGAGGCACAGCATTGTCTGGGTGAACGATGCCACATCAAGGCACAACATACGCCCACTGTGATCACACAGTCATGTGAATTTGGTGGGGAGCTCGTTGGTGTGTGAGATTGTGCACATCTGCGGCATATGGGTGTGCATGACCTGACTGGGTGCCACAACACAAGCCCCGCAGCTCATCAGACCTGGCGCTTAAGACTTAGAAATGCTAAGGGGTTTCTGGGCCTAGTCGGGTTCCTTGAGACGGGCCCCTGTCCTGCGACGCAGGCGAGAGTGTGGTCTGGGCACACACTGGTTGGGTAGTAGTCTAAGTTCTGAGCCTCGAGGCTGGACGGGTCTAAGTGTGGCTAGCCACGCTGGAGTGCTTGCGCGGTCTAAGATCAGCGGGAGCCTCTTACATCGGCTAAGTCGGCCGTGGCACGGCCTGGGGCCAGGAGGCTCCCACCGTGATCAACGATACGGCGCAGCCCCCAAATTTTCTTCGCCTGCGGAGGGCGATGGATCCTCTTCATGCTTAGCAATCGCCGCCTCAGCATCCTCCTCTTCCGATTTTCGTTGCTGCTCCTTCATTCTTGAGCGACGTCTAGCCAAACAGTTCTCACATGACACGAAGCTCCTCAAGCTTAATCAAACGCGTGACGGTGAAGCCTGTGTGTGCTGGTCCTCTTTGAACGCCTCCGCGCGTGAGGTAGCATAGGGCCTTGTTGGCAGCAGCCAGCTTGTTGCGCTGCTTCGTTGCGATGAGCTGATTGGGATCGCAGAAGTGCATGCCAAGCACCGCCACGATCTTGAAGCAGAACACATCGCAACCGCATCGTCCGCACTGCCATCGGCATGCCGCGCCCGCCGCTTCGCCGCAGCCGCCTTAAGGCACGCATAGCGGCAGCACATGGTGGGGGGGGTACTTGAGCAGGCGTTGCGCGCCGCAAGTAGCGCACTGGCCCTGGGAGAAGGCGATATGGCGTCGTGCGCGGCATACGTTGGTCGGGACGCGTCCAGGTATTTTCGGGTAAACCGGGAGGCTTTTCAGGTATACCCGGGTTTTGCCCGGAGTTGGCCTTATGTCGTCTAAGTTCATGGCCCCCGACCATACAGCGTCTAAGTCCGAGCCCGACTCCGTGTGGGGGCTAAGTTGAGCGCTCGCTCGCTGCAGAGGCTAAGTGTAGAGCGACCCTCTAGCCCTACTACCCAACCATTGGGCACACTGCGTGTGTTTTTCTCGGTGTGACTGTGTCACTGTGTGTCGTGCGCGATGTACCAAGGCCGCGTCGCCCCAGCAGGTCGTCGGGCGTCGCGGGCTGCTCGTGGCGGCGCGCGAGGCGGCCGCCGCCGCTGGGCGAGCCGTTGCCTCAGACTCGTTCCTCGCGCGCGGGGCAATGGCCGTGCTGGCCCGTGCAAAATGACGGCAAGAAAAACGGACACGTCAGGGCGAGCGCGGCCAGCGCGCGCGGAGTCAGAGCGGGGCGGGGCCCGGCACCGGGGGGCGGCGGGGCACACCATATAGAAATTAGAATTTGGCGGTGATCGTTCTATAGTAAGAATGGCGGGGATGCTCGCAAGGCGAGCGGCGCAGGCTACCCCATTGCCCCGCCACCAACACACGGCGAGGGGAAGGGATTTTCCTCCGGGCACCGGGGGGGGGCGACGGACCCCCAGAGACCCACGTGCCCCCTGTGCGAGGCGCGGGGGGGGGGGGGGGGTGAAAACGGCAACAAAACGATCCTGCGAGCGCTGCGGGCGCCCTGACCCGGCTGACCCCTGTCTGTAGAGAGAGGAACCCGACAAGAGCGCGCAACCAGCAAGGAGAAAGAAAGGCTGGCCCATTGCGTCCCTGATATGCTCAGGGGAAACCGCTCTTCGTTGTTCTCCCAGTACGTCGCTGACCATGCCGATTTCTTCTTCTTTTTGACCTGGAGGCTGTTGCCGCATATCTTTGTCACTAGCCAGGCACACTCTAGCGCGAGCTGCATCGTCGCTATGTCGCTGCTATGTCGTTGCTGCAAAACAGGCCATCGTCTGCATATACTAGCTGCGGCACACTTTCGCCTGCCGCTGTGAATTCGAATCCTCTACACAGCTTGCTGATCGTCCGTTGCATCACGGCTAGCATGATGAGTTTGCTACGTGCGGGCGAACTCTCACAACACCAGGCACTGGATCGAGAATTTCTTGCGCCCTCTAGACTCGCTCGCGACGCTTCCAGCCCGCTCTCATCATGCAGAAGATCACTGAGGAAGACTACTACAAGATCCTGGGCGTTGCGAGGTCGGCCACGGAGCAAGACATCAACAAGGCCAGCCGCTGCCCTCACCACCTTGCACAGGCGTGCCGCCGCGAGGCTCTCGCGTTGCTCGTCCCCTGCAGGCGTACAAGAAGCTCGCCGTAAAGTACCACCCCGACAAGAACCCCGACAACAAGGAGATGGCGGAGGAGAACTTCAAAAAGGTTTCCGAGGCGTACGAGGTGCTCTCCAACTCGGAGAAACGGCAGACGTACGACACCGTCGGCAAGGCTGGGCTCGGCGGCGGTGGCGGCATGCCCGGCGGCAACTTTTCGCAGGCCGATGCGGAGGCGATGTTTTCCCAGGTCTTTGGCGGGCAGGACCCCTTTTCAGTGCTGTTTGGCGAGATGGGCGGCGGGCGTGGGATGGGCCGCGGCGCGGGAGGCCCGGGGATGCAGTTTCACTTTGGAGGGATGCCCGGCGGGATGGGCGGCATGGGCGGTATGCCCGGCCCGAGCGGCATGGGCGGAGGCATGGGCGGCATGGGCGGAGGCATGGGCGGGATGCCGGACCTGATGCAGATGCTGGGAGGGATGCAGGGCATGCAGGGCATGCCGGGGATGGGAGGGATGGGAGGGATGGGAGGGATGGGAGGGATGCCCGGCGGGATGGGCGGCATGCCCGCGGGGCGGGGCGGGCGGAGACGCACCCGGGAGCGGCCCGACCTGCTGCCGGACGGGACGCGTGTGACGGTGCGGGGCCTGCAGGGCGCGGCGCAGCACAACGGCAAGAGCGGCGAGGTTCACGAGAGCAACGACGTGACGGGGCGGTACACAGTGCAGCTCGACGATGGCGAGGTGCTCAAGCAGAGCAGTCCCTCCTCCCTCCTCCCTCCTC